TCAGCGCTATCGGGGGTTCTCGGCTGGGCCACCGACGCTCGGGCAGGACAGAGGCCGCCCGCGAAGGCTGCTTGCGGGGCTGCTGTTCCCCTCCGCGGGGCGGGTCGCTGGAAAGCACCGGGGGCTCGTTTCAGAGTTGTCAATGGACCTGTCTTTAACTGGTTCCACGTTTCCGAGTTAAACCTATCCAGGAACTTTCAAGTAAATGCGAAATCAGAATTTCTTAAATAAATAAGGGGTTTAAAGGAAAAGCACGTAGACATTGTAGCTCTGGAAGTACTTTGGAAGGAGCCTGAGTTTTACCTTGTTCCGGCAATTACTCTGCAAATGAACATATTTATCTTTTTTAATTTAGATTTGCTGTGGTGTCTTCAAAAATTAATGCTGTTAAAATAATACCTGGCATTTCCTCTGCCATTCCTCCCCAGCCTGGAACTATATTGGCGCATTGTCCTACTTTAGAGAGAGTTTTAAACTATCAAGGGACTGCTTTCAATCAGTACTGGTTGAACAGAGCAAGGTTTACTGGTCACGTTAAGCTTTGATCGTATTCTGGCTGTTGGCTGAATGAAAATGTCATTGTAAGGTTAGTTAGTAATGATAATAATAATAAAATAAGAAACCTATGAAAAGTAAACTTGTCCAAGGATATTTTCAATTAGGTATAGGACAGTGATTTGGAAGTGGTTTCCTGTGGCAGACTCAGGTGCCTGTTCTGTTTTTAAAAAAGCTCTAGGTACAGGAAAAGAGATAGCTGGCAGGCTAGGTGGAGAAATAACAGTGATCTTTCCTCTTTTTCAGGTGAAAAATTGGAGGAGTTTCTTCGCTCACTGAACAGCAGTAAACCTCTGTATTTGGGGCAGACTGGTCTGGGTAATATTGAAGAGCTTGGAAAACTCGGGCTGGAGCCTGGAGAGAATTTCTGCATGGGAGGGCCGGGAATGATCTTCAGCCGTGAGGTTCTCAGGAGAATGGTGCCACACATAGGTGAATGCCTTCGAGAAATGTACACCACTCATGAGGATGTGGAGGTGGGCAGGTGTGTCCGAAGGTTTGGAGGAACTCAGTGTGTTTGGTCCTATGAGGTGAGTGACAGTGTAAATTGCAATGTGTTGTTTGTTTATGGAGTTTGTCATCTTGCAACGTAAGTAGCTGTATCCTCAATCTTTTTCCACCATAATTATGTTTTAATGCGTGCATCAGAATGTAAACTGCAGACTGTAAGGAAAAAAGAGAGGAGAACATTCACGGCACGTTGCTGCAAGCGTATTTGTTTCACTTGTGTCTTTCAATTTTCATCGGTGACAATTACTGAAGCCATGTTGTAAGTATTGCTGTGCTATAAGTTGCTGAAGCATTACTTTGAGGGTTTCCGAATATAATCCTTGACAGGGTGCTGCTGTATTTGTCGTGTGCTGTTAAGGTTGGATCTTTTTAAGAACTTGTTTTTGGATAAGCATGTGGCATAGCTGTTTGTTCTACATCGCAGGATCTTGGAGTAAGTTGTGGTATTTGAAGAAGAATTTCTTGTATTTTCTTAACTACTGAGATGTGTTGTGATGGAGTTCATTACTGGCAAAAGCAGAAGTAGAGGTGGGGTTTGTTTTTTTTTTTCTTGTACAGGAATGGAATTTGTTACACTGCCTGTGTCTATTATACGCTTTTAGCAGTGTTTTTCTTGGTGTAAAACAGTGTTAAATGTATTAAGGACACATGCAGTGTAACAAATCTTCCTATGCTGAAGTCATTTTAGGAGCAAATCGCTTCACTCCATAGTAGCATTTTCTGAAGTAATGAAGATGTGTTGCAGTACGCAAAAAGTTTGTTTGCAATGCCATAACAAAAATCCAGGCCTGTTTCTCCGGAAATGTTGGGGTTAGTGGCAAGGCTATCTTTGTAGATAAAAATAGACTAAGTGTGCAACTGCCAGAAAGGGTAAAGGGTGATAGCTAACATGATGAATATGATTTTAGTTATTTTGACCAGTTCTTTAATATTAATACATGCTTGCCCTTGTGGCTCTCCCTCGTTAAGCAGGAAAAATCATTTAAATGGACCGCTGAAGGAGGTTATGTGCTATTGACAACAAAAAGACAGGAAAAATAATTAGTATTGTGGATAATTGTTTTTCTGAATGGATGAGGAAAGGTGGCCATGCTAAAAAATGGGTTTGGTAGGTTACTGTGCACGTAAACAGGTGAATGAAAGTAAATTTTGAATAGTTGATGCTAACTAGGTGGAAATCTTAGAGGTGGAAATCTTATCCTTTACTTCACAGTAGAAAGGTGCTTTTACAGACTATTTCAATAAATGTTGTAAATGCCGATGTAAAATAATTCACGCGTTGCACTCGTAGAGCGCGGAAAATGTTTCTTGTGCTGATGAATGTCGACGCAGGACTGGTGGTTCTTAATCAGACTTCCAAACCGCACGCTACGTTGGCAGCTTAATCTTACGCTCTGATGTGTTTGGACTGTGTCTGTACAAGGTTATTTTCAAACCCTTACGGGCATGTGGTGCCTGCTGCTCTGCATCAGATAGCAGAATTATGATTCTGCCTTGACAGTCGTATCTTGGAAGGGGTTTTGGTTTTGTTTTTCTGATTTGTCTTCGTGGGAAGAAATCTGAGGAAGGGAAGAAAACTGGTAATAGACGTTATCACTGTGGGTATAATTTATTTTGATGTTGAATGTCCGGAAAATTTTGCTCCAGGCACTGAGTGTAAATGAGATAGAGTGAAAAAATATGTTTACTTTCTTCAGTTTTGGAGAGTGAGTTATGTGACTGCTCAGAAGCTCAGCTTTTCGTGGTAGGATCGGGGCCTGAAAACATAAAGTTTTTGGAAAAAAGTGTGTGTTTATGGGATCTGGAATAGAGTGACACTAGTCTTGACTGTCAGTTGCCCTTGAAGGCCTAGGTCTGTATAATAAAGGAAGGAAAAAGAAAAAAAATGTGTTAGGTTTGCAATAGCAGCTGTTCATTTCTGACCAGTGTTTCTGTCTGCTAGAAGAACCTTTGACTGTTTCCAGTATAGGAGATGCTCCAGAAGATGCAGATTATGAAGACAAAGCTGATTAGAGTGATATCCCAGCATTAGATCCGTGTGGAAGGGATGGAGTGAAATAGGGTGTCAGGAGAGAGAGAAGTTGCGTTCATGCTTTGGCATGGTTTCTGTTGTGTAGCTGATTGTTTCAAACAGCCTGATACTGCATCTGAATAGATTGGCCTTTAGCAGGTTGGTAAATTAGTCAGTGACAAGGGTGACTTTTCTCCTAGGGCACTGAAACTCTCGCTGTGTGCCTTTTCGTTCCTGCTTTAGATCAGCAACGCTCTTTTTGTGCTAGGAGGAGAACTACTCTGTCGCGTACACGTGAGCAAAACCTAAGATGGGAGCCAGGATTTTCTGCCTAGCCAGTTGCGTTTTTGTCCTGAAGTCCACTTGTTGTATCTAAGTATTAGACCAAGTCCTGTTGGGCTGCAGAATTTTTATGAACTTTGTTGCTTTTGGGAAGATGCATTATTTGTATTTAGTTTGTGTTGCTGAAGACTAACATAAACTGGAAACAATTCCCTTAAAGTTCTTAGAAGGAGAAGAAGCTCTAGAAGAGTCGAATCACTGTTGTATCATTTTTACCAGATTTCTTAGAAAAGAACTGGAACAGAAAGTCTCTTTTTGGTAAGGATGAAAGAAATCAAGCAGTTTAAGAGAAAACCTGAAACGCTTGATCTTTGCTGGGTAACTCAACTGGTATAGGTAAGAGGGGTTGCCTGTCAGGGTTTATTCTTGCTGGCTTTTAGAGTTATCTAGTAAACTGTGCCCTAGCTTGTATGTGTAATGTGTTTGCTGGCAAGGAGAGGATTACACCCTGACTTTTTTGGAGGGACACACAAATATTTATTTTTTTTTTGTCAGAATGAATAAGGACAGAAGAGGTGTACAAGCCTGTAATGAGCCACTCTTATTCTTGGGGCTTTCTAGAGTTTAATTCTTGTTCTGCCAGATTTGAAGCCAGGGCTAAATGCTGGGTCTCTCACATAGCAGATGACTTACAGCTGAGGTGATGAGTCTTTCTCTGTCTCTGGTGACAGAGCTCCTCCACTCTGAATGAAGAATTAGTCATCAGGTTGCTGAGAGAGTGAATTGAATAACAGGGTTTTTAGGGCACTTGTGCAGAATGGAGGAGACAAAAACCTGCCCATGGGCTGCAATTTGACAGTTCCTCTAAGCTGACATAAATACGGGCTTTCACTAAAGCGCGGTTGCTCCTTACGGTTGCCTTCTGCAGGACTTGTGCAGCCCTGTGGTGGCATGGAACAGGGGCGGGATCCGCTTGAAACCCAAACCTGACCAGAAGTGCTTTCTTCAGCTGAATCGGTACTTGCCGCGAAGCTTTGCTGAGCGTGAGCCTCAGGAGAAAGACGAGGTGGTCATGTTCAGCCAGGAGTGAAGGGGCAGAAGAGTGTCAACCTGCCCTTCCTGGCAGCTGCTTACATTTGAGTTGGCTGGAAGCAGCAGTTGAACCCCAGCCTGAATCTAGGATGTTTCCTTGCTACGTGAGGAGGTATCTGCTAGAAGCGTTGTATTTTTGCTGGATCATTTTCTTTCTACAGAAGATCCATCCTTGTTCTGATACAGTTTTCAACGATTGCTTCATTTATCCTCCAGTGTTGATGATGCTGTAATGATTAAGGTGTAATAAACCTGTAAAACTGGCCTAAAATATCTCTGTAAAAAGCCTCTTTGCTTTTGATAGGTGTTAGTGACTTCTCCTTCCCCAAATCAGTAACAGTAAAGATTAAAAAGGGCCTTTTGCTTTTGTGCTTTCAGAATCCATGTTTCAACCTAGCACTCTCTCTTCCCCTAATTTTCAAGCCTTGAAGTGTTTTTCTTTAAATGATAGAAGAGATTAGTTTGATTTTAGTGGCCATACTTGTTTTACTCTTTGGAAGCAAAAGTGTAATTAAACTGAGATGCTGTGGTGTTCCTTACTTTGCTGTTTAGGGGGGACTTGACTGCAGAGGACCGTTTGGAGAAAAAGGCAGATTGCTTTATGCTACCCCCCCTCTTTTTTTGAAATTATGTTTGTGGTTTCAGAAGACCATTTTGTAATTTATAACCGAAGTTTATGACAGATCAAGTAGTGTAGTTCCACAAAAGGACAAAATAAAATGCAACACATGAATTAAGTGGCTGTAACAGTTCAAGCAGAAATCAGTCATTGTCAGGGTATGAATATTGACTATCAGAGAAAGTTTTTCTTCAGGAAATTAAAAATGACAAATGCGGTGTAAAAAGATTTAGACTATTTGTCAGTGTGTTTGGGACATTCATTCTAATGTTAAGTTTGTAAAGCTTTTTGTAGCCTTTTTTTCCCTTTCCATGGGAAAAAATATCATAGAATCAAAAAACATCTCAAGTTAGAAGGGACGCATAAGGATCATAAGTCCAACGCCCACTACATTCGTTGTAAAATTAAAACCTATGTTCATACAAAAAAGTATCTTCATACAAACCACCCCATATACTTTTGGTAATGCTTACATTGATACTGACGTTGGTACTGAAAGAAAATACTGTACTTCGTACATGCAGGCAGTCCACATTAGTGATTGTATCTGTTTTCCTGTTGTTTTTTTGCTTTTACGAAGTTCTGTGACAACCAGAGAATACAGTCTCATTTCTATAACACTTTTTAAATAATAGAGCTCTCTAATAGCCTTTATGTTGTTGCTTCCCAGTAATTACAGTAAATATCCTGGGAAAATGGCTATTTGGATCGAACTACGTGGTCAGAAAGGTTCCCTTTGCAGTGCACTGGTATTGTGACTGTCTCTGGAGGTGCTGGCACCTTTCTAAGCCATCTTCTGGCTTCCTTTAAAAAGACTTTATCTTTTCCTTTTCAATGTTGATTTTCCTTTCCGATGTATTTTAATTTTTCATTCAAGTCTTTGTTTCTCTGGTGAAGATGTTGGTGGATCACAACTTGGTTTGAGTTGAACACTACACCAAACCGAAGTATTAGAGGTGTATTTGCCTTTGATGATGGTAAGATGGTATTTTGCTCATTTGGGTACTAGAATGATC